AAAAAATATTCCTTACAACTCACATCCAAGTGCTAATTCTTAGCAAAGACTCTGTAAGGGGGTCTTAATGTGACATATTTGACATCACATTCATGTTTGAAGAATACAACACTTAAAAAGAACACATGTTCACCATAGTTATTAAGAAGAAGAAGAATATTAAAAAGCAACAAAGGAGTGGAGAACTCATTTGTGTCTCAGAAAAGGAGAAGAAAAATAAGGAGCAGAGACCCTGTTCCTATTCCAGAAAAAGTAGGAAAAGAACTAGAAAAATAAGAAGTAGAAGGGACTCTTCCTATGCCAGAAAAAAAAAAAGAAAAATAAAAAGTAGAAGGGAAGGGGTGGAGCCTCTACTTCTGTCCTGGAAAAAGAAAAGGAGTAGCAAAAGAACATACCTATGGTTGGTTTGTCTTCCTCGTTTACAAGTTAAAGCCATCAACTTTAAGCTTTGATGCTCTAAGTCTTCTAGTCTTCATACCCTTCAAAGTCGTGTGTTGATTGATCCCTAACAAAATAAGAAAATAGTAAAAACAGATTGGTTTATGAAGTAATAAAAAGAATGATATGGTATAGAACTGCCTATTTTAATATTATAAACTCAAAAAACAAAAACATAAAAAAATTACAAATCCTTATATTAGGAAAAGCTTACCATTTGGGTGAAGCAAGCCCCAATATGCACTTAGTCCACTAGGCATTTTAGGGGGTGTCAGTTGTAAATGATGTACATGAGCTGCAAAGTGTCTGTGTGGCAAGCAATTCTTAGATATTAAAAAGGTACAAACCTGAAGTTCTGCCTGATGTAGGAAACTGAGGCTCCATATGTTTTATTAGGAACCCAAATGTACGCTACCAATGAAGAATAACCAAGAGAGCTGCAGTCTTCTGATTGGTATACTGTCTTATGGCACATCAAAACATATGTAGAAGTTATCTAATTTAAGTTTATGCAAGTGCAGAGAGAGAAAGAGAAAGAAGAATGAACTATTCCCACTCCCCTGACTTTTTTCCTGGATGAACTCCTAAAATCCAAAGTTGCTTCTAGCATTTCAAGGAGGGAGGAGCCAATCCTATAATTAAATTTTAATTTGAATTCTAGTTCTGGCAGTCATACTAAAATTCATATTCCAATTAAGTTCTGAATGTTTATTAGAAAAGTAAAAAGATTTTACAGATGAGAAAGTGAAAGAAAAACCATGCTGTGCAAGGAACACGACAATGTACAAACAGCATTAACTAACAAAACAGAAAATACAAGTAGAATTAATCTTTGAACTATAGCCTTTCTATTGACCATGTCATGCTAAAATCATGGTTGAATCCCATAAACCCGTTTCATGGATAGACTATCCATATTTCATCTTGGATCTTAAGGATTTTAAGACCAAAAAAAAACTTCAAATTCAATTAGATTTGTATCTTATCTCAAATAAAACCAAAGAAGTAACATGTCTTATTGTGAACAAGCAACATCTAGTTGAGAAAACAAGATCCAAACTAGCTAGAACATTACTGGTTTCTAGAATGTATAGATATGCACATGTATGAATTCACATTATGTAATTTTTTAAGAGAAAAAAGATAACTTATAATCAAAAAAAAGGAGGGAGGGATGTACATAAGAGATGTACAAACGGGCCAAAAAAGCACAAAAAGAAAAGCCTGTAACAAACTAAGATGGCAAAGAGTTAGCACTATACAAAAAATCCCTTCCCGATCCTTGCTTTGCTAAAACATCTGCAGTTCTATTGGTCTCCCAGGGAATCCATCTAAAGGTGCAGTTCAGCAGAGAAGACAGCTCATGAATTTCTGCAAGGAAATGAGCTAGCTTCCATGGACCTTCATCTGAATCTTTTGCCCACTTAATGGTAACTCTAGAGTCTCCTACTGCTAATGGACTGAAATGGTGCCTCTTAGCTACTCTTAGTCCTTCTAGAAGAGAGCGAACTTCTGCTTCGGAGGCATCTGCAGCTTGAACTGGGCCTTTAGGCCACTAAAGGCCCACAAGATATCTCCAGTAGAGTTTCTCAGTACCCCCATTCCAGCAGCTGATGGAGGTTGCAGCGACCTTCTAAAATTGCTATCAAACTGCAACAGGTAATCACACTCCCTACTTGGGGGAGGAAGAGTTGGTACAGATGGAGAGGAAGGGGAAGTATACAGGATTTGCAGCCAGTTTCTTTGTAACTCCCATCTGCTTACCCCATCAAAGAGTTGGTGGACCAGCATCCAAGAAAAAATTTGCAATAAGATCTTCTTGCAAACACCAAAGGTTCAAAGTATCGATACGCCCGTGTATCGGCAAGGGCGTATCGGTACTAAAAACTAACCACTTAATGTTTTTTTAGTTTTTTTTCAAAACTTGATTTCTTGAAATGTTTTTAAGTCTTTTTTATTGGAATAAATGGGGGTCCTGAAACACCTGTAAATAGGTGTATCGAGACCAAAAGATACAATACGATACGCCCAATACTTTGAATAGGTGTAATAGGTGTAAAATGGGGCATATTGTATCAATACTTTGAACCATTCAAATACCATCGAAGGAGGAGAAAATATCCTCAAAAATTCTTCTATATAATTATAAATAGAAAATTATTTACCTTAGACAATTGGATCAGATTATAATAACAAATTGCCTTGTTTTCTGCAATTACCTTTAAAAAATTCTACAATTTAGGAATGGATTAATATTTGATCCAGCTTACCTGTATTAGAGATGGATACACCTAAAGAATGTGATCCAAACCATAAAACGATCCAATAGCATCCTCAAAACAGAAAGGTAAAACAATATTTCATGAACCCAAACCCCAACTCCACCCCCACTCCATCTCAACAACAGGGGGAAACACATACAGCATATGCACTATATATTGAAACCTGTTTGTACAAGCAGAGACATGGTATTTAATGATCAACATGAACAAGTATGAAAAAAATAAATGCATTACCTATAACAGGAGAGAGAGAGAGAGAGAGAGAGTTCATATGTCCTGTTGTCAATCCATCCTCCATTTTTTTCCACTTTCACCATATATTTCTTAACTAATTCCTGTTCTATCCTCCTTTCTCCCTCTCCAACTTGCTTTCTCATTTGTTTCAATTGCTGGACATTCAAACCACGCTAATTGCACAGGCATCACAGCTAGTAAATTTATAAATTCAACAGATGCTCCTAGCCCTACACATTATTTGTTGATCACAATAAAATTAGACTTGTAATATCTCACTGACCAATTAGGCTGTGTCTGGAAATATTCTGAATTTTTTCTGTGCGCCATGAACATAAAAGTAGTTTTGCATGGACATTGAGACAGGAATTGAAATCCAATGTACATCTGGGAGTGACTGAGCAGTACAAAAAATAAGGACTTGAAGAAACATCTATTGAAAAGTATACACTTAAAATAGCTCATTTCTTTTAATCCTAACATTATACACCAATGAAAAAAGCTAAAAGTTTGTCTTTGTTACTTAATAATGTTCCACAGGAAAATGGCATTCATTGTCTACACTCTATGTTAGCTGTTCATTTATGAAATAATCAAGGACTAAAAGGAAAATGCTACATAGAAGTGTCCCTGAAGAATCTATGAAGTGTCAGGGTCAAAAACATGTCTGGCACAAACACTTCATTCACTTTGGAGAGTTAGTTCATGCAACACAACAAAAAGAAAGGGAAAGAAAAGAAAACACACACACACACATATTAGGGTTTGCTCTAGGAACATCAAAAATGCTCCAATGGAATATTACAAACCTCACTTTAATGTCCACTAGCATTGAGCATCTCTTTGCTGCATTCCCATCCAAGAATGGGTGAAGAATAAGAATAAATTAAATGCTTAAATATAAAAAATGCCACTGCATGGGAAACGATTCAAGGTCCATCTATCAGATAAATATAGGATTCATATTAAAAAGACTTCATGCTAACAAAGAACATATGTAATGTTTAACGGAGTATCATTTTGGATTTTCAAATAGAGTCAATATACACCTTGTGCTTAGGAAAATACTGCATAACAATGTTTGGCATCAATAATCCATAGAGATCTCATTGTTCAGCTTCAAGTTGGTATTGCTTTATGCCAAAATAGTTAAGTAAAAGTCAGAAGTGGGCAGTCACAGCCTCACAGGAACGTCTTTTTTTAATAAAAGAAATAGATCAAAGTTATTTTATTAATACAGAAAACTATGAAATTTTTTAAAATGATTAATTAATGAAACAACTTTCCTTCATTTGTTCCAGTGTTTTGAAAAGTGTGGAAGGCGGAAGCCTGGAGGTGCACCTCCGAGCAAGGCACCCCACAAAACACCTTGGACATATGCCTCAGGTGCAAGAGTTGTACGCCTCATGCACCTCACACACACCTCATACAAAAAGATAGAAGAAAACAAGGAAAAAAAAAGAGAGGAAAGGAAAGGAAAATAAAGAAAGAAAGAAAGAAGGAGAAGGAAAAAAGAGAAAAGAAAGAAAAGGGAAGGAAAGGGGAATGATCCCGTCTTTCAATTAGTGTTATGCATCTTCGTTCTTCTTAATATAAAAGATTTTTATTAAAAAATGAGATCTTCCTTTCTTCTTCCTCCTCATCCCCCCTTACGCCTCCATGTGTTAAGGAGGCTTATGCCTCTTATGTTCTGAACTACGCCTCACCCCTCCAGGTAGGGGAACGCCTTGCATCATGCCTCCACATCTTAAAATGTTGATTTGTTCAGGGGAAAAATGAAAACTACTTGCCCCATGGTGGCCTACAGCCAAATCATGTTTCCATGACTCCAGTCCATTAACAAAGGCTCAGCCCTAAGTCCCCAGTTAGCATGGCAAAGTCCATTCTAGTTGGCCTCTTCTCAAGAGAAATGTCTGATAAAAAGATTGAGGGCTGAACCACCATTTTGCTCTATCAAGAACCAATATTTTCATTCATACCATTCATATACAATATGTAGCTTAGATTAAAATTTCAATCCTATCTCTGAGCATAATAGCCATTGAGTATCTTCAAAGTAAAACTAAGATTGCCAATATCCAAGTTATGCCAACACAGCCTGAAAAAGTGCTTGTAGAATACAAATAATTAAATTGCAAATATAGAAATAGCAATCCACCATGCAGTGATTTAGTAGGAAAACTCTGTTCATGGAGGCAAGAAGACCAAGGCTAACTTAAAAGGAAAACCTGGATAAAATATATGAACATTCCATAAAGTTTGAGCAGTTGGAGATCATAGGCTTTGCATGATTCTAACATGTATTTGGACAATATACTATCAGCGCCCATACTTGTTTGTATACAAGTCTGTAACAGCAATTTTATTGCCACCATTTAAAGGTAGACCCATCAGTGTTGCGCCCATTGGATGCTCTTAATGTCTATTCCTTCCTTCACCATCTCATATAGAGGGCTCATCTCTCTCAACTTCTCAACCTGCTGCACCGTAAGCTCAATTGCCCGATCAATTTCGGCCTCTGTTGTAAACCTTCCAATTCCAAACCTAATTGACGTGTGGGCCATATCCTCGTCCACTCCCAAAGCCCTCAACACATAAGATGGCTCCAAACTGGCACTTGTGCAGGCACTGCCACTAGAAACTGCAACCTCCTTCAAGCCCATAAGCAGGCTCTCCCCTTCAACATAGGCGAAAGATAGGTTTAGATTACCAACATACCTCCTCTCCATGCTTCCATTCACCACTACACCATCAAGCTTAGCTCTAATTCCATTCAGCAGCCGTTCCTGCAATGCAGTAATCCGCTTCTCGTCGTATTTCATTTCCTTCATTGCTAGCTCACACGCAGCGCCCATACCAACAACCAATGGAGTCGGAATAGTCCCACTCCGAATCCCTCTCTCCTGCCCACCGCCATTCATCTGCGGCTCCACCCTAATTCTCGGCCTTCGGCGGATATAAAGCGCCCCAACCCCCTTGGGTCCGTAAATTTTGTGCCCACTGAGCGACATCAAGCTCACATTCATCTTCTCGACATCAATTGGGATCTTGCCAAGAGCCTGCGCCGCATCCGTGTGAAAAGGGATGTTCATCTCTTTGCAAATCTTGCCAATTTCTTCAATCGGTTGGATGACACCAATCTCGTTATTGACAGCCATGATGGAGACGAGCCCGGTATCGGGGCGAATAGCAGATCGAAAGCGATCGAGGTCGAGTATACCATCGGAGCTGACGGGGAGGTAGGTGACGTCAAAGCCCTCTTGTTGAAGGTGGCGGCAAGAGTCGAGGACGCACTTGTGCTCGGTCTGGGTGGTGATGACATGGCGCTTCTTGTCCTTGTAGAAGTGCATGACACCTTTGACGGAGATGTTGTTGGATTCGGTGGCGCCGGAGGTGAAAACAATTTCTTTGGGAGAGGCGTTGATGAGGGCAGCCACCTGGGCTCGAGCCTTCTCGACGGCGAGGTCGGATTCCCAGCCGTAGAGGTGGGTGCGAGAGTGAGGGTTGCCATAGCGTGAGAGATAGAAAGGGAGCATCGCGTCCAAAACCCTAGGGTCGACAGGGGAAGTTGCTTGCATGTCCAGGTAGAGGGGTCTACCGGAAATTTTGACGCCTTTCATTGTAACCCCCTCTACTTCCTCATATTGGCCTTGAAAAGGAAGGGGAGATGAGGTTGGTACAGTAGCTGCAGCTGCGACGGAGAGTGTTCGGAGGTGAGATAACAAGCCTCTGTTACATGTTTGGCGGAGCTTCGACGCAAAAAGCTTCGTCGTCATGATTTGTCTATTACTACACCGCCACCGCTTCTTTTCTTTTTGCGAAGAGAAGAGAAGCAAGGAATATATAGGTTCCGACTTCCGACTCCCGATCACCGACTGTAGATTACAAATCCCATTTTCTGGGAATCCAGGACTTCTGTTTTGTGCTTGGAAACAATGAAAACAAAACCCTTTTTCTCATTTTTCTTTCTAACCTTTCTTTCTTATTAAGTGCTTCTAGTTCTAGATAAATCTCGGGTCCTTGTCACCTTTACGAATCATCGAGGTCCTCTGATAATGGGTTGGGCTTGGGTTCGACTCGTCCGGATCAAAATCAATTATTTGGATCCACATGTAATGGATTTATATTGGATTAGTGGAATTGAAAGAATATTCAGTTCATTTACAAAAGATAAAAGGGATAAATAAAATGCACACCACCTCATATATCTGAAATTATGGCCCTTCTGGTATATTAGTAATCCTTTAATAAATCGCATTCTGTCGCATCCTATCCGTAGATTTGACATTCATTTACGGTCAGGATTCATCTCATGGTGAAACTAAGAATTGTATGAGTAAATTGAACAACAAAAACCCCTTATAATACAAGTGTCAATGAATCATATTTAGATTGGATAATCCAGACATTAAATTAGACCAATGGTTCAAAGCATTAAATAGATTGGATAATCTATTTAAAAAGATTGGATAATCCAGACATTAAGAATTCATATGGGGTCGGTTTGGACCAATATTCGGTTCATTGACAGCAGTAATATCAAATCAGGAGATGGGAGATGGAGAATTGGAGATGAAAGACACGTTGATATTCTCACTCAATACACGGTGAGAATGGAGCATACAAAAGATTTCTCCCTGAACCCCTCATGTTGCTTGTATGTGTTTGAACAATAAAAACCCCATTATTATTTTGGTAAATTGTTGAAACCTCACTATACTTTTTTACCCTCAACTCAGTACCCTGCTCTAGTGCTTTATACTATCATCCCTTTGAACTTCATATATCATTGCATCTACCCCCTTCATCGAGCTGGGCTAAGTGGCAAACTAATCCAAATAACTAATTTTGACCATTTGAATGATAACTTGTCTTTCAATTTTGCCCTTCCCTTTGATACCAATTATGTTGACATGGCTTCCAACTTTTCATTTAAGGGCAATCTTGATATTTAAAAATGTTGAGATAATGACATTAAGACTTTGTTCGCGTTTTGGTAAGTTATTTACTTGAGTAAATGCACTTATTCAGATAAGTGTTTTTTACTCGGTTAAGTGTATTTACCCATGTTCTTTTATTTGCCAAATAAATAAAGAAATGACCATTTTAGCCATAAAATTTCAATATTAAAAAGGACATTTTTGTCTCATTCAAATGTTGGCAACTTTCTCCCTTTGTGGGAAAGTTTTTTACCCACCTAGGAGATGAAAATACCTAAGAAAATAAACTTTCTCTGGTCCTCATATAAATCTGGATAAAGAACGTGCGTTTATTAATCAATGGAAATCAAAATCTCATTGACCAACTTCCCCCTGATTGGAGATAATGGAGGAGTGTACATGCAACCATGCCAGAATGGTAAATTGGAACATAGTATACTGCATAAAGTACAGCGAGATTTTATCAACTTACCCTTTCCTTAAGGCTTTGTTTGGTTTGGAGGAAAAAGTAAGAAAACCTATGCAACCAAACATAGTCTAAGTTGTTACAATGCCCAGACTTTTACCGACTTTAAAGCAACTATGTGCAACAAATTCGGGCTCCATGCTTCTAAATTAGCCCATTCAGTTAGAGGTGTAAACATATCGAATTCAAACCAATTAAGGCAATATCTAAATTTGAAACTGATATCCAAATTCGATTCGATTTCCGACAGATATTGAATATTAGTATTTGAATTCAGTCAAATATTCAAATATTCGGTTTGATTCAAATTCGACCAATTAATTATTGTAGGTAATTAATAAATATATAAAATAAATATTTTAATTATATAAAATATATAATTATATAATTTAATTATTATATAATACATTTAAATATCTTATATATTTATATATAAGAATTAAATTATCAATCAAATTCAAATATTTATCAAATCAAATCAGGTCATATCCAAAATCGAATCCGATTAACTATTCAACATGAATAGGATATCTTAATTCAACTGATTAGATATTCAAATTATCCAAATTCAATTCAATTATGTCAAATCTCAAATTTAAAATCAAATTTTCAAATACCATTAACACCCCACCTTAGTTTTTTTTGGTCAAAATAAAGCAGATGGCAATTACTTTATTACCCCACACATTATAACACTAATTTTTGGTTGATAAAGAACAAACAATCATATTAACGAATAAAATCGGTTGTAATTCCAGCCTCGATTGTATCACTGGAATTTTCACCCAACAAACTTTGTTTTGCCCACCATGTTTTGAAAATGGTTTTAGTTTTGGGTAGAGAGAAGAAGATCACACCGTTTCTTTCTCCCATCAATTCATGTAACTCAAAAGAAGAAATAAACGGAAATTAAAATATTTTTTTACGCCCTAACCGTAAAATCTCTAATCACTGTTAAATTTGAATTTTCTTTGATCGAGTGGTGTGGCTCTTTTTTATTGGAGGGTCTAGCAGATACGAACTCTCTCAGAGGAAGAGGGCAAAGAAACTATCCCGCATGCTCTTTTTTAAATGCAACCATGCACTGCGAGCATGGTTAAGGGGGAATGATAAGGATGAGAACTAATAACATCAGTGGTGAAATTCAAAATCTGATTTTTTTTTCACCTTTCTAGCCTTTGCCATAATGTTTTTAATAGTGTAAAATGACAATCCTTCTCTTAACATCTTTTTGGTCCACACTCCACAGGGAACCCAGATTTCCTAGAGATGTGTGGCTGCAATTCACGGAGGGTAGAAAAGTGAGTAGGAAATCCCGTTTGGTCTACACTCTACAGGATGGACTTAAGATGAACAGTAATGCAGAAGATGGCAACTTTTTGTGATGTCCGCCGAAACTCGAGTGGTTAAAAGCAAATAACGATGGCAGTTTTTGAAGGAATGATCGTGGAGGCTTCTATGTGGGTGGTTCCAGTTGGTGTCATGCAAAATCAGCTCAACATGCAGGGGTAGTGTATATATAGCTATAAAGGAGTGTCTTCTATATGCAATCAAAAAATATGTGAGCCATCTCACTATTCAAGGTGATTGCGAAGCTTTGTTATAGTAAAGCCAAATGATGACAAATTCCAGATTTAAACATACATATATACAGACATGCAAGCGCATACAACACAAGCAACCACAATCAAGTTTTTTTTTCCCGATCAGAACACAATTAATTAAGCTTTTAATGAACACGATGGAAAACCACTCTCAAAAAATCCAGTAGAGGAACACAAACAGAATCATGCCGATGCAATTAATCAATTTTTGTTATGCTGCAAAAGATAAACACGGAAAGCAACTTGCCACAGGAGTCTAAGGAGATTGCTAAATGAACATTAATGTCCAAAAACAACCACTAAAGATTGGATGTCAATGGTCGGTATGTTTCGTCTCAAAAAGGCCATCCGGACCTGCATTATAGTTCACACAACCAAGAAATGTTAAAATTACCCTATAGTCAGTTTAACAATTCAGTCATGCATTATCAACCGATATCAAAACTCCAACACAGAAGCATGACAGTGATGCCTAATCACTGCCTAGGCACAGACTAGATGACGAAAAAAATTATATTCAATATTTAAGATAGCAATCCCATAAATAAGTTAATTAGACTACAACCATGCAGAAAAGTATAACATAGAACATTTAGTTTACAGTGTTTGTTTTGCAAACATAAAAGAGTTAAGAGCCTATCCTAGGATAGGGAGTTACAATCATTGTTTTCTAAAGAAAGAATGCAACCTTGACTATTTCAGCCCCCTTTGTGGCAAATCCATACCAGTATACTACTGATTTGAAGGCTCCATGAATCCTTACCATCATCATCCAAGCCTTACGGCCCTTACCCCAATTATATAGGGTCAGCTACATGAATCCTCTTCCACCATTCCATTCTGTTTAATCCATTGTTAAATTACCAGCAAGCACTTCAACTTACAACAGATCACTTCTTCTTATGGGTGCTGTCAAAGGATGGGAAAATCTATAGTTGTTGATTCATACTTGTAGTCAGTTGGTTGACTAGTCACTGACTAGTAGAAAGTTTGAAAATGCTGATCAGAATTGATTTTAGATTCAAGATGGGTGCATTTCTTTCACACATATGGCCCCAAAGATTACAACTACACCTCTTTTGCTCATCCCCTTCAGATAATCAGATACCAGCCATAGAAGAAGGTTTTAACTAAATCTAGGAAGCATACTTTTACCATAAAAATCCCTAACTTCACTCACAGCTTGTTAAAACATTGGCAGTGCCAGAATGGATGGTTGGCCAAGGCCAGATATGCAGAGTTGCAGACCATAGCACACAATCATTGTTATCTACTCCATCTCCATCCTGCTAAGATTACCTGCTGCTAGACAATTATAGTGCTGCTGTCCAAGCTAGGAAAATAAATTACCTAATAGTTGAGCTAGGTAAAGCGTTTTCTTCTGGTGAGTTCATCCTAACCTGTCAAAGCCCAGTCTACTATCTCCTTCGTTAGGCAAGGCTTCAAATTCTGAATTTTCTGCAAGAGATCAGCCATGGATCCAATTTCCCAGTCATTCAAATTTCTTCTAAAATGTAGATTCCAGATAGTGACCTAGTTTTTCACCTCATAATATTCAGCCACAAGTATTTTACCAAAAACAAGGATGGGAAAATCCCAACAAGTATCTAACCCTTGAGCTAACACCCACTTAATATCTAATACCTTATCGCCATCATCAACTAAGCCTTACCCAACTATATGGGGCCAGCTAAAAAACTATCAGTAATATTTCTCAACTCCTCTCCTCACCACACATCCATACGAAGAGATTACTTCCCCTGGTCCCACTTCGAGTCCCTTGTACAATACGTGTCTAAAATCCATAGGCAAATCACCAAAACCATTTACCCAAGGCTATATTATCATTTTTAGTCGCCTTGCCACCATAACCATGAGGTTTTATGATGACAAGCCTCATTCCAATAAAAGTTAATGCTTTAGGAATGAACGTGAAAATAATGTTCTATATGTTACAGAAAAGAATAAAAAAAATAGAGGCTCATATTTGGCTTCAGAAATATGGGTCAATAAAGTTATTACTGTACAAAATTGCAAAGTTCTATTAGGATTTTCATATTAAAACCATACAATATCTTTCATTAAAATACCCATCAAGAGAGTGGTCATCCAAAACCTACTTCATGACCAAGTCTTCTGCCAACTATTTCTGGCTCATTCCAAGCCATCCAACTCGAAGAAAAAGGGTGAGCAATCCCTGACTTCTTATGTTAAATGGACGCCAAACTGTCAAACTCAAATCACAAAATAATGCAGCTAACCTTCCGTCCCTAACCTTGAAATAGAATGAAGTGTGACTAAATTACAGAATCACAAAATCAATGAATATGGTTCTGATATCCCACATCAAAACAATGGCATTAACATAAAAATGATAGAAAAGAATACTACAGATATATTAATAAGTCAAACCATCAAGAACAACCATACAGAAATAATTTTTTGCATATTATGGATTTCTTATATTCTGCAATTAATTGATGAGTTAAAGGATGACAGAATAACCACAATAGCAAGAATCACATCCAATAACTCCAGAATAGCATTGAGATCAGCAACTGGCAAAAAATTACAAGACCTTGAACTATGGATAGAATGAACCATACCCCATGGGAATTCCTTGTTACGAATGTGCAAATATGAGTATGGCTGCGTATATAAATAGAGAAAACAAAAGAATGAGAAACCTTAACCAATCAAAATACTCAAAATAGAAAAATAAATAAGGAAACAAGGAAAGGAAGGAAAGACATCATCCGGTATCCATTTTGGTACAACATATTGCTAGAAAACAGGCGCCTAGGGACAAAGCTCCGTGGACACAAACGTTAAGCCAATTGAAACATGAGAATAGAAACTTACAGGGGGCTCTTCGTGGTGTGGATGACCCTTTGAAAGGTTGTAAATCGACAAAATAGTGCACGTGACAATGCCGGCATATGTTATCTTTTCCCATTTTGCCGTCTCATCTGACAAACGAAAACATAATTCTTGAATTGAATCATCGAGTTACATATAGTAGACAAATCAAGTGCAAAGCTACAAACACCACAGTCTAGTAAAGATATCAAGGAATTTCGGTATATATTGATCCACTTGATAAACAAAACCATCCATAAGAAACTTATTCAATCGAATATGCGAGCAAAAAGAATAACCTAAAATCAGAAATGCACATAATATTCAAATCTAACTGACAACATAAACAATCCTGTACATGAAATAAAACCCTAATCCATCAGATGGAATGGGCATTTTATCGAGAAACAAAATCAACCACGTAACAATGAATTTGAACCTTTTCACAGTTTAAAAGAATCAAGTAAAACAATTAGAAAAATAAATAGCTTACAGGCGTCATCATGATGAGCAGAGGAAGCGAAACCCCTCTTAGGAGGAACGGTGCGTCCACCTCTGCGAAGTGCTGCTTGAAGACCAGATCTCATCATAGCCGTCGCCATTTCTCTTCTCTGACTTCTCCAAACGCTCTCCTGTGATCTGCCTCTCTCTCTCTCTCTCGCCTATATATTATAGAAACTTTTTTAAGGAATTCTTGATTTCATTCTCTAAAACAAATCGCAACTCTACACAGCTTTTTTCATCCGTTGGATGCAAAGTTTAACTAATCAAAGCCTATCGCACTGTAAATATCAGCTAACAAATTAAAGGAAATCAACTTAGTTGATTAGGGTCCATATTAAGAAGCACATATAATTGGTATCAAATCAAACCAACATATTAAGTAGATCCCAATCTGACAGTAGGAAAAAAAGGCTCCAATGAAATTATAGAAATGGCGTGTAAAATAATCAAGTCAAACTCAGCGGTTCATATATTGTTGAACTATTAATCGGGTAGAACCCGACATAGAGTCTGGTTTTGGTAGTTTCAAAACCAATTATGATCCGAACTGACTGCTTACATGAATTAAGTACAATTTATATGTCTAAAGTAGCGTATTACAGGGATACGTCAGTCTAATTTAGTTAGGTTGTGTTTGGTCTGAAGAAAAAGGTAGAATTAGAAAATCTTTACAAATCTTGTATAACTTCTTTATCTTTTCATTCCTTTCCCTATCTTTTCCTTCAAACCAAACATAGCCTCATATCATCAAATATGAATTGGCTCAGTGGTATGGTTTTTGGCTGCTTGTAATGGAAACATAGGATTGAATCCCACCTATATCAAGGTTGAGGTATAAGATTAGGGGTGCCATTGAGCCGAACTGCAAATTTGATATGCCTTGGTTTGATTTGATTAAATTATTTTTAAGTTCAAGGCTGACTAGCTTGAAAGCTTAATATTTGTGTATATATGTATGGGTATGCATATGTATATATGCATGTAGTATGGGTATGGGCCTCACAACAACCACTCATAGTATAAAATAGTAAGGTACTTTAAATAACAACCACGAGAAATTTAATAGAAACAAAAAAGATAAAATCTAAGTAAAGACAAATAAAACAAGTACCACAAAGACATAAAGATTTATGTGGTTCAACCTTATTGCCTATGTCCACAGGAGAAATGAAATTTGTTTTTCACTATGAACTGAGAACAATGCAAGTACCTTGCGCCTTGCAGCCCAAACCAACCCTTACCCTTGTACACTCGTTATCCCTTTCCTCTCAACCCGAAGAACAAAAATAAAAGAGAAAACTCACTCTCACACCAAGAGCACTCTATATTTTTTTCTCACTCATTTTCTCCCAAAAAACCTTAACCCTACATACAAAATAAAGCTTTTATATGTAAAATCTCTTTAACTTAAAGAGGGATTACACCAACCGTTAGATTAAAATTAATCCAACAGTTATAAAATAAGACACAATCCCAACAATCTCCACCTTGGCTTATTTTTGAACCACCCTAAAGATATATATTATTTGTGCCTCTACCTGTTTGCAAATACCGCAAACTTCCATTGGCCTTGTAAAACAACACCAGTTATACATAACTTGAATCATCCGGTCCTGACTCTACCTGATTCAAACAAGACAGCCAATGTACCTATGTAACTATACCCAAGCAAATAATCCTAATTAACTTTAAAGAGGGACCTCGTTCCTTCCTCTCTTCTAGCAGGAATCTTCCTTTCACCATCATCTATACCTTAGAAACTTGCAACACTTGTCTCCATTTTATCCACAAAAGAGACCCTCCATGTGGTCACACTACCTTGTGCATTTTGTTTCAAACATTCTATCGAGGTCTTGAGAACCACTTTACTCCCAACCAGATGATACAAACCCTTGCATTTTTCTCCCTTCATCAGGACCATACCGCCACGTGTGATTTTCATGGCTCCACCTATAGCAAAAGCCTTGCATCCCATGGAGTATAATCAGCTAAGTGATATTAGATTCCTACACATTTTTTGGACATATGTCACACCACCCAAAGTGCAAACTACTCCATCAAACATTTTGATTTTCATTGTCCCAGCACCTGTCTTCCTCTCTTGGAACGTGTCAAAACATTCTTTTCTGGAGTAAATATGCATAAAACATCCAGAATCTAAAACCCACTCATTTGGAGAAAAATTACGCATACCTTCAAAGACTGTGAGAACGTCTCCATCATCATCAGATGTAACTGCCACGCTTCCGAATTCATCCCCACTCCTTTTTCATGCAAGACAATCTCTCTTCATGTGGCCAAATTCCTTGCATCTATAACACCGTATTTTTCCATTTTCCCTGGCCTTGGATTTAGACCTGCTGCTCTCAAATTCCCTGTCAGACGACATTCCTTTCCGATCCGCTCCCACAGTGACCAACGCAAAGTTTTGCCCATTCTCATACTTGGGCTTCCTCCTAACCTTATTAGATAGAAGAGATGCAGTAACTTCTTCCAACTTCATTGTATCTTTCTTATACAGCGATGTTGTCACCAAATTTTCATACGAATCAAGAAGTGAGGTAAGAAGCAAAAGGGCCTTATCTTCTTCCTCCACCTTAACATCAACTTTACCTAGTTGATCCAAGATACTATTGAACACATTTAGATGTTTCAGGGGATTCCCACCTTCTTCCATTTTCAACTCGTACAATTGTCGCTTCATATATAGCTTTGTAGTTAAGCTTTTTCCAAATAAAGCTTCTCCAACTTATCCCACAATTATGGTGCAAAATCTTACTCCATAACGTTATCAGCAAAGAGCAATCAAATCGTACTAACACCTTGACTCGATGTCCTCCCAATCAACATCATTCATGTCTTCTAGCTTCTCATTCTTTCCCTTCAATGCTTTAGCCAAGCCTTATTGAATCAGGATGTCCTTTATCCTTCTTTGCCATAGGGTAAAATTGCCTTTACCATCAAACTTCTCAATATGGAATTGAGAGCATGTACCTTTTGTTGCCATTATCTCTCAAGCAATTTTACAAACACTTTGTAAACGCTAACCTGGGAGCTCTAATACCACTTTGTTGGGGTCTCACAACAATCACCCACAATATAAAATAACAAGGTATTTGAAATAGCACCCATGAGAAATCTAATATAAGCAAAAAAGATAAAATCCAAGCAAAGACAAATAAAACAAGCACCACAAGGACATAAAGATTTACATGGTTCGGCCTTACCGCCTACGTCAATGGGAGAAACGAAATCTATTCTTCACTATGAAAGAAAACTGAAAACAATACAAGTACCTTGCGGCTTACAGCCCAAACCAACCCTAACCCTTGTACACCCATTCTCCCTTTCCTCTCAACCCGAAGAACAAAAACAAGAGAAAAAACCCACTCTCACACCAAGAGCACTCTGTATTCTTCTCTCACACATTTTCTCCCAAAAAACCTAAACCTTACATACAAAAAAAGCTTTTATATATAAAACCTCTTTAACCTAAAAAAAGACCACACCAATCGTCAGATTAAAATTAATCTAGTGGTTGTAAAATAAGACAATCCCAATAGTATGTATGTGTTAATTGAACCAAACTCGCAAGTTTTTGAATCAAACTTTTTATCAGTCAAGTTCAAACAATTTATAGAGCTTACCCCAAAATTCAAACTTGATTCAAGCTCGATTAGATCAAACTCGATTTGAGCCTAATCAAATTTAAGCCCAAACTATTTGATTAAAGCTCGTTATGATTGCAACCTAAGACAAGACCAAACAACTAATCATCACATATTACCAGTAATACAATTGAATAAACCCTAATCACTCCAATTGGAGTGAATCAAACTGCTTTATAACAAACTCAAGAAGGAACTTTACAAAAAGGAAAACCTCCTTAAAGTTAAACTCCAGAGACTCCCTCCCTACAAGACCTCACTTGGATCTCAGATCCAAGATCTGAAACTCTCTCTACAAAGCCTCTACAATATCAAATTCCATCTACCCACGGAGGGGGAGGGTTATGGATTTGGGACCTATCTGATCGAAACCCTCTATGAGTAACTAACTATGGAGTTTGGGGGATGAGTTACCCTTATTGTGTAGTCCCGACCCGTGGAGCAAAAAAAAAATTAGTATACTTATAATATTTCATTATTATGCAAATGTGTCAATTTGACAAATAAATAAGTCAATTTACATAATGAACAAATAAAAAGAAATAGACATCAACTATAATTGACAAATAAATAAACCGATTTACATATTGAAAAAAAAAATAGACATCAATTATAATCGGATCTCCTCGACTAAGAAACCAATTTGAATCCAGATCTCCTGCTAACAAACGCGTTCCAATAATCCTTCCAACATATGATCTGACACAGCACATCCATCTCAGATCCCGACTCACCGAATGTACCCTGACCTGGCCCAAACCGTCAAATTAACAGCACAACAGTGGGACCGATGAATCTTAGCATTACGGTATTAAATGGGCGTTTCACGTTTGAAGTCTGATAAGAGATGGTAGGCTTGGTAGCTCATGCAACTCTAAGCAGATTAAAAAGATGGATTTATGCAAAACCAAGGTAATTTTTTTCCTAAGCTCCATCAAGATATTGGAGAACTAGTACAGGGAGCAGTGAGGCTGCTATCGTTACATAAGCATTCACAAGCATTATATGCCAGTTTATTCATGGCAGCCCATTAAAGGATCTGTTTACATAGTTTATAGATATAATATCGAAAAAAAAAAAAAAACTCAGCAGGTGCAACAGGTTCAACTCTTCATATATTTGAAATGGAAAACTTCATTTAGTATTCTGAACATTGCAGGTAGTGTCAAGTTAGTATCAGAACTTTCAAACGTGTCACTGCAATACCTAAACTTTCAAAAAGTATCAAATTCATCCCTGCCGTTACCCAACCGTTAGTTATCTGTTGAAAATATCAAAACTACCATTCAAAAGAAGACACTGTTCATTATCTTCTACCTTGAGATTGAACTGGTTATTTTCAAAGAAAAAAAAAACATGAAATATGATAGAGAGAAACAATAACTGAAAGCAAAGAAATAACTAGACAAGAATGCATTTCAGATCTGAAGGTAGAAGACAATGATTTCATTAACCTAGAATCTCAAACACCTTAACCGGTTCAGTCTCAAGGTAGAAGACAATGAACAGTATCTTCTTTTGAATGGTAGTTTTGACAGTTTCAACAGATAACTGGAAGTCGGTTAACGGCAGGGACTAACTTGATACTTTTTGAAAGTTTAGGTACTGCAGTGACACGTTTGAAAGTTCAGGTACTAACTTGAAACTACCCCCAAAGTTCAGAGTACAAAAGTGGAATTTTCCCATTCGAAATCATGAAAATGAAATAACATGGTTTTGCAATGGATGGAATCTGAATCTGAATCTGATAGAACCAATTCATTGTCTAAAGTGGAGCCAAATTTCCGGTTATGCAATGGATGGACATCTAACCATCCAGTTACATGATTATGTATTAAATGCTTGAGTTTTCTCTCCCGAGCTGATACTTAAACCAACTATGTCTCCGTAAGTTGAAAGCTTTAAGGAGACTTGTGTCCTTGCCTGAAAAAATAAGATCACCAACAGCTTTCTACCCAAAAAGAGACTCACCAACAGCCCATTGCTGTTCATACTAACCATCATAATTAAATTAACAAACCAAAACATCTTTTGTTTGTTTGAGCATGAACTGCAAATCAAATAGCAAAAAAGAAATGATAGCAATTGAGTAAATCCAAATCCTCTTGCATCTTGAAGAATAGGCAACAAAGGTTTCACTCTGTCTTCAAGGTGGCTTGAGGTTGATGAGCGTTCCACTGCAACAACATCCATATAATTGAGGTCCCTGACCATGACCAATTCAAATAGTCAAAGATAAAATATATGCATACCATTTATACACACTTATCCAAGGCATTAAGCAGAAAGCTTGACCTAATCTTGGATAAAAGTAAGAAAAGAAAAGGAAAAGATAAATCATAAATATTGAACTGTAATAGAAAGAAGGTAGTTTCAGGACATGCTCAATTAACAGCTCCATTGAGTAAAAGAGAACAGTCTGTTGTGCATTGAGGGGAGTCATCAAAACCAGGGGCTCATACACATACACGCACATAAGACTTGCACACAAGAGAGGGACACCACATACAACCCAGAAGTTTAAGCTATTGGGTTATGGGCCACTCTTGTAAGTCCCTTGCACCTCTCGTACTTTTCCAATGTGGGACTCTCTTCATACACTACTCATATGTGAATCCCAACAGTCTTAGCCAGGAGAAACCTCTAAGTGGGAATTGCAGTTCTAACCTAGAAAGGCAGCAAATAAAAGAAAAGAAGAAAAGAAACCAATAACTTCAGATAAACAAAGAGTAATGAACTCTAAAGATAAGAACTAGCATGTCCCTTTCTTTCTCTTACCCCCAAATAGGGGGTAATAAAAGGGAAAAAGTCCTCCCATCCTGTACTTAGGCTTTAGCACAATTTAAAAGGCTTTAAGAAATAGTTCCTCCACAGAAAATGGATAACAACAGTTCCTTTTCCAGATTTACCCATCACCATTTAAGTCCCAACTATATGGGGGTTCACTACACGAATCCTGTTTTGTTCAGTGCCATACCCATTAAATTATGGGTGCTTAAATAATTCTTATTACTTCTACTCAGGTCCTTTTCAGTCGTCCCTAGCTCTTCTAGTCCCTTCAACTGGAAATAGATTACTTTTTCTAACAGGTGCTAGCTATAAAAGGTCTTCTATTCACATGACCAAACCATCTCAATCAACTTTCTCTAATTTTATCACCTTTTGGATCTACTCCTAAACTCCACCAGTGTGATCTTGTCCTACACAGATGGTCCCGAGCTCAGATAAAGGAGGGTTGTGTTAGGTTGGTATCTGGCACTAAAATTTTTCCCCAACTCTCATGATCATGAATACTGATTTTGACAGCACCCACAAGAAGTGATCTATTGCAAGTTGAAGGGTCTAGAAGGGGTAGGGGTAAAACTAAAAGGACATGGGCCGAAGTAGTAAAAAATGATTTAAGTACTAAAAATTTAACAATGGATATGGCATTAAACAAACAGAATGGTGAAACAGGATTGATGTAGCTGATGCTATATAGTTGGGAGAAGGCTTGATGATGATGTCGACGATGACGATGAGGACTGGAGATTTGAAGCTACTCCTAGGTTCCTTTGTATGACTTGATTTCTTTTTTAGATTCACATATGAAAAATAATTCCCTGGATTTGAACCCATAATTCAATTATAATTTTTTATATTAACAGTGTAACTTTATTGATGATGACAGAATATTATATCACATAATTCAAATACATTATCTTGTTGCACTGCAAACTTGAGGTTGAAGATCTGATTCCAGAATAACCTAAGAGAGGAAACAAGAGATAATAGTTCAAGCAATCCATAAGGAAAGAAAGAAAGAAAGGTTCATATAGAACAGTCCCTAGAAAAGGAGAAATAGACCACCTGTTGACTTGGCTCATTGCCATTACTTCATGCACTGAAACTTGCAGTGGCTATCAACCTAGGCTAAATGAAGAGAACTAGGAAAGTTGATTTTAGAAGAGAGAGAAGCCAGTAGAACATGAAATGGATGAAAGAGGAAAACGAGAGTTTATTCTAAATGAGTATACAAATCAATTGTGGCCAATCAATCACCATGTGTAAGATTTGCAACTCAACCAAGCCTTGTCCCAACTATATGGGATGGGATCAGCTCCATGACTCCTGTTCTGCCATTCCTGTTCAGTGTCATAACCATTGTTAAATTATAGGCCCCCAAGTCATTTCTCACTACTTCAACAAATCATTTTTGGCCTGATCCTCGATCGTCTAGACCCTTCAACTTGCAATAGATCACTTCTAACTGGTGCTTTAAATGGTCCTCTCCACATGTGACCAAACAATATGGTAGATTTTCTCTACCAATAAAATCAACCATACTTCAACAGAAAAGGGCTCCTAGAAGTGAGATTTCTTAGACCCAGCCAGAGGGATATTGGGTGAAGGTTACCACATGATGATTTATTAAAAAAAAAAAAAAAAGGTTACCACATGATGACAGAGTGAAGCAGAAAAACATGGAACTTTCATGGAAAGTTCTCAAATCACAAAAATCTCCTTACTATCACTGGACTAGCAAACTTGTTTGGCATATTAAGAATAATGACAAAGATTGAAGGAAACTTTTGAGATAAAAAAAAAAGAAAAAATAAATAAATAAAACTTCACAAAACAACACCCAGGCAGATTATTCACTCTGATATCTTTTGTCCCACCACTATTAATTAGGCTGAAGAGCCAGGGATGGGCAACATGTTCGATGCTTAATCATTTTTTAGCAGTGGAAATATCAGAAGAGCTAAGAATCCATTAGCAGTGGAAAAAAGATTTAGAAGTACAAAAAATCAATCTTATCTATCTCAGCAGGCAAGACCCAACAACATAACAGAAAAGGAGGTAAACTAGGCCCAACCAGGTATCTCAACTCAACTAAGACATGTCCCAACTACAAGGGGTCAGCAACATGAATCCTGTTATGCCATTCCACATTGTTCAGTGCCATATCCATTGTTAAGTTTATGGGCCCTTAAATCATTTCTTACTACTTCAACCCATGTCCTGTTTGGCCTGCTCCTAATTCCTCGGACAGATCAGTTCTTTTAACTGGTGCTATAGATGAATCCCAAGTACACGATCAAAAGTAGTAGGCATAAGGAAAAAAAAAAGGAAAAAACACTAAGGGAAGACTATTCCATAAAGAAGAACCCCTAATAAAGCCAAGATATCCCCGTTCTTCCCAAATTATCAACTCAGGAGTTGACCAATTTTTAGATCCATCTAAATAGGATGACCTCTCTAATGAGATCAGTGGAATATAACGGTCCTCGATGCCATCTCCAAACCAACTAATTACCTATCAATGTAATATAAGGGCCGTTAGGTGTTCTATACCAAAATTTGCATCGACTCTTCCTTTTAATAATTCCTACTGTTGTAGAATTTTGCCCAACACTTGTTACTTCGCATGACACTTTTTGTAGCATTTCAACAATGTTCCAAACTGAAATCAACATAAAACCTTGGCAATTAGCATTCATAAACAAGATATCACAAGAAAGGAAACATCGAATGTAGATTCCACAATTTAACTTTCTTATTTTCCTTTGCTTTAACTAAATCATTGTGCTGTGACCAAGCACAATGATTTTTGGAGGTTGATTTGTTGGACACCAGAATACTTGCACCTGCATCACATATCACAGTAACACTGGTTACTCCTTGCTATTTTACATTCATTGCACCAGCAACCACAAATATCTACTGTGTATTCACGCAATGCTGTTAATATAATCATTGCACAGGATACAGGAAAGCTATGCTTCACAAAAGAAGAAACCAATTACACAGAAATCCATGACCAAGGAATTAAGGGGTAACAACTGAGTTATAATAGGAAGACTGATACCTGCAAAGATGCCAACGGTTGTCAGATTGCCAATGACCATTGTATGATATATTAGGTATTCACTCAAGAAATGACCAAAGGCATAGATGAATGATAGAAAGGTAGCTATATAGAGTGGCTTGTTTTCGAGGTTAAATGCACAAAGATAGCAAAGAGTGCATGTCAGAAGTGTCCAAACTCCAAATGTCCTTCCATGAACTTCAGTCACTACATAAAGGCAAGATTCTCCATCAGAATATGAACCTCATAAATATGTTAGAATACCTACATAATAAAAACCCATGGAAAAAAAAAAGAAGAAGAAGAAAAGAGAAAGAAAAAGACAAAACATGAAACTACATTATGGAACTAGCATAATTACAAATGAAGGTTACAGCTTTCTCAATTTCCCCTTCCAGATAAGAAAAGAAATCCATTGTGCAAGATGTGAGTTAGCAGACCATGAATGAGATAAAACAAACCTGAAGCAATCATGATGGCAATCCTAATCCACCACTAGAAATGGAATTTGTAAGTTGTAAGTTCACCTTTTTCCAAAGAAAAAGATGTTCAAGTAAAATAAAGCAGAACCATGATTGATGCCTAACTTTTAGTAAGCATGGAACGATCTTGTCCAACCTCTCTTGCATTTTATGTTTGAAGGAAAAATGAAACAGGTAACATATAACCTGACCTTGCAAATGAAGCAGGTACTTGTCGTCCCATTTCTTGGAGATTTTCAGAGAATGCAAATTAAGTTTCATTTTCATTTTAGAATATTGTATCTGATACGGTTATATGGACCATAGTTGGATGTGTCATATCTGGTTTAGGCTATTGTTTTCACCTTTATACTAAAGATGGTTATGGACTAGTAGTATTTATTTAGTAAATGGAGTAAAAAGTCAAATAGGTGACTTGTTCATGATGCCATCACAACATGGAGGTGAGTTGTCAATGATACACTTCAATGAGGACAAGGAAATGAGAAGTCTTTTATGTAATTAATTTAAGAAGTTTACTTGTTAGTAATATCGTGGTCGAGGTCTATATAAGCTGATATATTGCAGCCTTTCAGCAGCAAAGAATGGATCAGATTTTAGTTTTCTTAGTTGCTTTTTATTTTTTATTTTTTCTTGTAAAAGGTAAGGTAATTTATTCATCAAAAAAACATTACAACAAAGCCCAGGCCATAAAGGCTGCCTGGGTCCACATCAGACTACAATCTCATCCAAGACTGAGAACAAAACAAAAGATGCAAATTCTGATGTTTAAATTCCTCCGTTACTGACACCCAAGAAAATAACTTGCCCACAGCTCTCTGCACTATTTCATCTGGGCTTTTAGCTTTACAACAGAAAATTCTGTTATTTCTCTCAGTCCAAATGGACCAAAGCACAGCTGCCGGAATGGTGTTCCAAAACAGCTTTCCTTTCTTGCTGAGTCCCTCAATACTCCAACAGTTCAACAGCTCCTTCACTGAATTTGGCATTACTCAATTAATTTCCAAGGCCTTAAGAAAGTGCCCCCAGACATAAGAAGAAATTGGGCAATGGATACACAAGTGCTCAGTACTTTCTGCAAGAGTACCACACAAGCCACACAAAAGATCCGGAATCTGAATACCACGTCTTTCCAGATTAACTCTAGTCAGACATTTATCAAGAACCATTGTCCAAACCAGAAAATTAACCTTAGAGGGGCTAGTTGAATTCCAAATCTGCCTGGCAGGGAAATTCTCCTGACCTGAACTAAACAGCTTGAGAAACATAGATTTAACAGAGAAACAACCATGTTATCTTACTTCTCTAAAGATACTTCCCCTTTCTTGCCTCTAAACCTTTTCTCTTCTTGATGCTGGTTCTCTCTACACGTCATAAGCCAATTCTACATTTTCTCTTTAACCATCTCTCTTCTTCTTGTAGTTGAATGTCTGGTTCAACATCACGGTAATATAGTCCACCAAACTGTATTTCTTCTTCCAGCTCTAGATTTGCTCCCAAAAACCCTAACTTATTTTTCTTAACATTTCCCATATTAGGCGCCACATATCTTTTCCATCAGACTAATCAACCTGGATTTTAAATCCATTCGTTAATATTCTTGGGACTTTTAAAGCAGTCAATTGAAGCCCTAAACCCAGTAATTAGAACCAAGTATGTTGGTCCTATGCCACAACTCCTTGCAGTCTTTAGTTGGCTTCAAAACCGAAACTATGTTTTCTTCTGTCTTGAATAATAGATGCAGTACTGTCATAGAATTGTTAATGCTCAGTATTCCAATGAGATGGTTCGCAAGGCAGTTCATCCGTTGTGGTAAGATACTTTATTCACAATTAAATTCAAAAGATCAATTCGTCGTTATACTCTGATGATAAGATGTTGTCAACTGGTTAAAGAGAAGTAGGTTATTGCACAATTTAGTAGAACTTATAAAATCATATCTAAGAATATGCCATACATAAAATCATTTTGAGCTAACAAGTAAGGAATCATTCATGAGCATGAGGAGCGAAAGTGAACTTTAGATTGAATCAAAACCATGACAACAAGTTGGTAAACAGGTTAAATCATCAGAAATACAGCAGCAAAAGACATCTTTCAGGAGTTCTGCAAGCAGCATCTCCACAGTCGGACCAAAATAAGCTTGTTGATCCACTGCGTTCACTCATCGTTAAGTCACTCTATCTTGTATACGGAGCATTTCATACTACATTGCTATTGCTACTAAGACCATAAGAAAATCATCGAAAGCACAATCTGATCTGACAGAAGGAAAAAGAAAAAGGAAAAAAAAAAAAAAGATGGTTAGAACTAGAAGCTCACTTGTGGAGTTGGAGAAGACAGCAAGTCGGAGAGCCCATATGTCAAAAAATCCGAACCAAACTGCTGCCAGTCGAAGTGAACCAACTAACATCAGCCACCACCCCAACGCCTTCATTTTCTTTTTTTTCTTTCTTCCTTTTTCCTTTCTTCCCCTGTTCCGGTTTTCCTCCCTTACCAAGAATGACAGAGATCAAACAAATGGAGCTCAGTGGCACGAGTTTTAGAGCAAGCAAAAAACCCAAGTGAGATTGCGACCTGATCTGCTCCTCACTGAGCGCGCCTCAGACTGATCTCACAGGCACATCTCATCGTATTGTGGGACCATAAATAATAACATATAGGGCAAATTCCCGATTAACATGTACTTTGGTTGGGCCTAGCGCCATTGAGTTCGGCTTCAGTCCAGGCACGCAATATACGCGCACCGTTCGCGTAGCAGTACGCGCCACGCGTCTTTTGATTCGTGCGTTCGCTTAATACGTGCGAACTGAATTAACGGAGTCTATCTTTTATGCCGTTAGCTTCTTCCATCCTACTTCCCGCTCGAGACTCATCAGACTCTGCCTTCACTAGTCACTCTCACCCGCTCCCTCTCCAACCGGCGGCGACCAACAGTCATCACCGGCGACTGTTAACACTGGCAATCGGAGAAAAACATCAAGTATTTGTGGACTCTGGCCTGATAGAAAATGGACTGTTATCACCGATTACTGATAGAAGCCGACTCCTCTTAACGGTAACCAGAGTTCAGATTCGCCTACCCTTGTTGAACAAGCAAGAATGGAGGATTCTATGGAGAAAGAAATGCAGATTGTAGAGTAGAAAACCTTGTATTTTGTATATTTTACAGATTTCTTTATGAGGGCAGATTTGGCCCTCCAATGACATTGTGATACATTGTTACGGTCTGACACAGGCTTAGCCTAAACTATGCTTGGCAGGCTTACGTTAAGGGACACCATCGTCATTTTTGCGTGTAAGATTTTTGGGAAAAATGATGTCATCTTCAAACAAACCACCAAAAGCTTAACATACTCTTTGAGGAGGGGTGGTCGACCTCCTTGGGTGCCTAACCTTGGCATTTCTACACCAACTTCCCTTGTGGGGCGGCCCTGGTATTGGCTAGCATAGCTACCAGGGTTCCTCATGGGCGCACGCATGCTCATGGGGACAGTGCATGGACCGGCACTGCGCTATCGACACTCAAGGAGGTTTGGCATGCAGGCCTGGCTCAAGCATGACCCTTCACCTCGCCAGCCCCTTGCCCAAGCTGATCTCTCAACATGGCACACAGGTGCCCATCACCATCGGCATACAAGAGACCCATCACATCGGTGCCCAACCACCTCTTCGGCGCCCAGTCGCCTCTCATTATGGTCATCCCCCTTTAGCACGTAAGAGACGCCTCCCATGGACCGGCCAGAGCCAGCCGAGTGCCCGGCCATGCGACTTGAGGTCATGATCCAGTGTTATTGACCTTGGGGGAGCCATCTCATCGAGCAACTCCTAGGTAGCACACAAAGGCTTGTCCTGGCCTACCTTGGCCTGGATGTTGCACGGGTTTCTTTCGTTGTAGAACTACCCCCGTGACAACATGGCATCCCGGAACCACTTAGGCAACAACTTGCCTTAGCCAAGCTGATAGTGTCTGACCTGTGACCTGGCACAAGCGCCGACTTGGCAACCTGCGAGACGTGCTCACCGACAAATTCGGCATGCATATCCCAACACTCCCACGATCCTTGGAAGTTGGCCCACGTACTGAACGTTCTAGAGGATGGTCAACGTGCATGGCGGTTGCCTCTGGAAATCTCAGACCACTTCGACGACCTCTCGGAAATCTAGGATGCGGTGCATGATGCCCACGCTAAACAATGCCTATATAAAGGCACCAACCCCAGTGACATAAGGGGGGCAAGTAAGCATGTTCTAGATCTCATACTTTATGATTTTTATCTCGCAATCTACTATGAGTACTAAATTAATCATCGAAGCGACCCCACCGGGTTAGCCACCCCGGGTCCTCTGACATTAATTTCTTGCAAGTCTATAAAAAACTACGAAGCTCAACAATTAATCCAACTCGCCACCAGTAAGCTCGGCACCTAATAGGAAGCTCAGCACTCTGGTCAGCTCAGCACCTAATAGGCAGCTCGACACTCTGGTCAGCTCGGCATCTAATAGGTAGTTCGGCACTCTGGTCAGCTCAGCACCTAATAGGCAGTTCGGCACTCTGGTCAGCTTGGCACCTAATAGGCAGCTCGGACCTCTAGTCAGCTCGTCACCTAATATGCAACTCGACCCAGTCAATTCGGCACCTAACCTGCCTAGCTCGGCCCAGTTAGTTCGGCACCTAACCTGCCCATCTCGGGCAAGTCAGTTCGGCACCAAACCTACCCAGCTCGACTCAGTCAGCTCGACACCTAATCTGCCCCTATCTCGGCCTGGTCAACCCGGCATCCAGTTCTCATCCAGCAAAAATTCTTCACTTCAGCCTCTGAGTCATCAATCAATTAGAAACAGACCAAATGACGAGTTACTTAACACTAAAAATTGATACCATCATCTGTTCGTAATCTTTCTGCCAAAACCCCTTTCCTTGGCTTCATGGCGGATATAGCGTGCCTGGGCTGGCGCCGAACTCATCTCCTTCTTCCTCCTCTTCTCCTGAGAATCCCAGCCATCTCTCCTTTTGTATATTTGTCTCTCTCTCTCTCTCTCTCTCTCTCTCTCTCTCATCTCTGTTTCTCAACCAAAATGTTGAACCCATACGCCAGGCCCTACAAGCTGAAAAGCCCATCTCTTCCTCTGTTCTATCCACCAACTCCACCACCACCAAAGATGGCAACGGTGGTTCCAACTCTTCCACCGCAGCTATCACCGTTCGGGGCCTTTGGGCCTCTATTTTATCATCCATTTTACCCAGTTCCAGGCCATCAGTACCGACGACCATGCAACGTTTTCTACTATCCTCCACTCCACTATTGCCATGACCAGCACTACATTTTCCTACTTACGCAAGCTGCACCATTGCTACAGAGAACCAGATTAAGAGCATGGAGGTGAAAAGTGGCGGTATTTCAAGAAGGTTTTTTTCCAGCGAAGACTGCAGATAATCTTCGTTCAACTCCTTCCACTCACACGGGAAAGCCCAGTTGGGGTTGGACTCATGTCTCTCTGAATACGACTTCGTGTACCAGCCCATGGATTTCTGGTAATCGTCTCATCTTCTTTTTGTTTCTTCTGCTGCGTTTTTTCTGTAACAAGAAAAGAAAGAAAAACACCAGTAACCCTTTTGATGATGCACAATCTGGCCGGTCTTAGCTGTCAATGATCTTGCCTCTGAACTGAGTAACAGGGACCTGAAACGGAAGGAGAAGAGAAGCTCTGGGGAGAACCCGGCGTAAGGGCTCCGAAGCTCAAGTTAGAATCCTTCAAAGGCAAGATAAACCAGATAGCGCAAAAGTTAGCATACCTCGTTCCT